GTGTTTTTGTGTGTTTTGGGTAGATACCTAGGAGTGGGATTGCTGGGTCATAGGGAAGCTCCATGTTTAGCAGTTTGAGGAACCTCCAAACAGTGGAATGCTGGTTTTTAAATACTAAAAATTCTGTCTGAATTGTGAGCACTATATAAGGCACTATTTAAAGTTTATGTTGTCTTGTCCATACCCAGACTTACCTTTTATTAATATAATCATTTTCTTCTACTAAATGAATATAGCAAGAACTGTAGGTATTTAAGTAGCCATCTTACTGATTGCTCATAAAGTTCTAAAATGTGTTTACTAAGCTTCTCCAGGTGTCTGTAACAAATGACTTCGCTTTTCCAATATTTACACTTCATTATCCTCCCGCCTATCTGCACATCTATAAATACATTAAACAACAACAGCCTTAAGTGGCTTCCTTGTCTGGCTCCTGTTTTTAATGGGAATGTTCTGGCTTTTTTCCACCATTAAGCATGACACCGGGTGTGGTTTAACATATTCATCTATTCCATCTGTTCCTCTTACCAAGGATTTTTTATTTAATCAGAAATGCATTCAAAATTTTAGAAAAACATTTTAGATTAGGTCATATGTTTACTCTCATGTTTTAAATAAAATCAAACTAAAATATCTCATAATAATGAACTACTCTACTTCCTAACAAACCATACTTGGTCAAGCAAGCTATGATGTTCTTTCAGTGTTCAGTTAATTTTATTTGCTAAATATAACACAGGTTTTACACCAAGATGTAGGGTGCTTTCTATCACCTCAGTATCAGCATTATATTAAATTTACAAAGCAAAAGGACACTTTTCATTTTTTAATGTTGTGGGTCAATTTGGTATCCTATTATCTCTTCATACAGGTTTAAAGTAAATCATCAGTGTTACGACTCAACCCATCCAGCTACTTTTGCGATATAGCTCTTCTCCAGTGTTCTTATTACTTTTTATATATAGAGATTTGTTTGCACTTTTCTATCAATCCCAAAATTAGATTTGCATTTTCTTAAATAATTCACACCTCACCTACCAATTTTTAGGCTTAAAAATGCTATGGAAAATTGAGAGTGGTACCAATTTATTCCAACTGGTAAGAATTAAGAAAAAGTAGATTATACAGTTAGGAAAGGATGCAGCAAAACTGTCATTCAATTATTTCTACACAAATAATTATTAAAAACAGAATTTGAAAAAGTTGCAGATTCAAAGGTAAATAAATCAGCTGCATTTCCTTTAGTGCACTGCCTTTCAAGGTTTCAATGGTATTCTTCAAAAATATACAACAAACACTAAGGAAATTCATATGGAACCCCAAAAGACCCCGCAAGTCAAAAAAGCCTGAAAAGAGGAAAAATGATGGTACCATACTTTCAGACTTCAAACTAGGCTACAGTAATCAAAATGCCATGGTACTGCAACAAAAACAGACATAGACCAATGAAATAGAACTAAGCGATCAAAAATAAACCTACAACTATATGGACACACTTAATCTGTGACAAAGGAGCCAAGAATATATTTGGAGCAATGAGAGTCACTTCAATAAATGGTGTTGGGGAAATTGGACAACCACATGCAAAAAAATGAAACTAGATCACAATCTTGCACCTTACATACAAAAATTAACTCAACATGGGTTAAAGACATTGATGTAAAAACCCAAAACCATAAAATAAATGAAGACATAGGCAAAACACTTCACCAAATAGGCTTCAAAGATGTCTTTTTGGATTTGTCTGCCACAGTTAAGAGAAACCTAAGTAAATATAAACAAATGTGGCTACATCGTTCTGCACAGTAAAAGTAAACTCTCAGTATAACAAAAAGACACCCTTCTGAATGGGAGAAAATATTTCCACATCATACACCTGACAAAAGGCTGACATCCAAATATATAAAGAATTCATAGACCTCAACAAAAGAAAAACAAACAACCTCATAAAAAAATGGAGCTAGACACTTCTCCAAAGAAGACATACAAACAGCCAACAAGGCACATGAAAATATGCTCATCATCATTTATCAGGGAAATGCAAATCAGAACAAGATATCATCTCACATCTATGAGAATGCTTCCCATCAAAAAGACTAGAAACAAATGTTGGTGAGGATGTTAGAAAAAAGAACCCAGGACACTGTTGGTGGGAATGTAGGCTACCATCTAGCCCTTATGGTAAACAGTAGAGATTTCTCCAAATATTAAAAATTGATCTGTCAGGTGATCCAGCAATTCCTCTCTTAGATATCTACCTAAAGAATGCAAAAATGTTAATCTGAAAGGTTATATGCATTCCTATGTTTATTGCAGCTTTACATATAATAGTCAAACTATGAAAACAACCTAAGTGCCCAAGGGCACTACTAGAAAAATGTAGTATATTACACACATACTACTCAGCTACAAAGAAAGATGAATTCTTGCCATTTGTGACAACACAGATGGAATTGGAGGGGATAATGATACTTAAAACAAATCAGAAGGAGAAAAGACATACTGGATAACTTCACTAATATGTAATATAAAGACACAAAACAAAGGGCTACATAAAAACAAACCAATTAAACCCTAGAAATCTCACCCTGGAATTGAGGCTACAAGGGCTGGTAGGAAGGTGGGGGAGGTAGTAACAAAGAGAAGAGGGCTGAGGGTGCCTCAGTGCTATATGTAACATGACCTATGCTTCTGAATTACATACAGTGTTGTAAATCAATGTCACCTCACTCAATTAAAAAAATATAATTAAATCAGTTGCATTTCTATATAGTGGCAAACAAATTATAATTTTAAAAGATAATCATTTACAATACCAAAAACAAAGCTACTAGAAATAAATCAAATAATATTTTTCCAAAAAGAAAACTAATTGAGAAAGATATTAAAGATCTAAATCAACTGAGACACCTATCATGTTCATGAACTAAAATACTCAAAACTATAGAGAGCAGTTCAGCTACACCCTGCCATTCAACAACCAGCATTTTCATTTCTAGATAAAAATTATGAAAGAACTTTTTAAACATATGCACCAGGATACACACAGAAGGTTCAAAACAGCACTGTGCAAGAGAGCTAAAGACTGGAAACAGCCCAAAAATCTAGAAAGCATAGGTTAGATGATTTGCTGTGGCATATTTAATAAAATGTCATGTGAGAGTGGGAAGCAGAGTTACATATATGAAAATCTCAAAACTGAGAAAAAAGAATTCCGTTCAATTAGTGGGTTGTTGAAGTCATGACGCATGCCAAGAAAAAATACATCACGATTTTTTCAACAATGCAATATGTAAAATTAAAAGCACAATAACACTGTTTAGATATATACATAAGTAGTAACACACAAGAAAAAAAAACAAACTTTTTTTTTCTGACTTGTTTTAAAGTCAGAAAAGATAGTTCATTACCTCCTTAAGTGGACCACAAAAGGGGCACACAATAGCCTTTACAGAGGAATCAGCATCATTTTACCTCTTAATCTTGATGGTATCACACAGGTAATTTATTATTTATGAGAACTTTATGATTATTCTTGAATGTATATATTCACTTAATACATTTGCATATAATTCACTTTTTTAGACCAATTTTAAAAGTTTATGTACTAACAGTCCAATCTCTATTTTCAAATGGCAGTGCTTACTTATTCACAACATCCTGAAGACAATAGGAATCTACATATATTCCCACAACTTACAAGTCTGAAGAAGACAACATACCTTATATAGTCCAATGCCAGGGTCAATAAGAAAATCACGAGTCGATGTAGATGGCTGACTGGAAGGCCCTACTCTTGGGGCTTTCTTTACTTTAGGTGGACTATTAGAACAGGGTTTAGCCTGTATATCAGTCTGTTTAGATGTGCTTGGAAGATCAGAATCTGGACGAACTAGCAGCTGAATTATATCATTTAGTCCAACATCATAGTCAAATAAAGTATATCCATTTTCCAACTAGAAAAAAAAAAAGAGATAAAGATTAAAATGGTTTTCTCAATCTGGTCCTTTTCTTCATCTTCAATTACCCAAATCTATTGAAACAAAATTCACAGCACTGCAATCAATCTACAGTCTATGATTTTAGCATCTTCTCTGGACCTAAATAAATAATTTTTTATTTTCAAATATTTTATTTTTATTTATGCATACAGGAACTGGGGTACAGGTCAGAGATGCAGGGACGGGGGGGGGGTGTTGAAATGATTCGCCAGAGACAGAGTGGGACAGAACAGGCAGACTGATTGAAATACACTGCTGAGGGGAGCAATGGGTAAGACAGGAGAAGTCTGCTTTGCCATGTGGATCAGCTCCCTGGCTGGGGATTGAACACATGCTGCAGTAGCAGCTCCATAGTGCTGCACTTTAACCCCCTGTGCCACCAGGGAGGGCCCTCTATTTCTAAATAAATTCTTAAGAATCACTCCATATTAGCTACAGGGAACATTTACAAACATTAAAGTAAAATAATATATCATGGCTGCTATAACCTTACTGTCTAGGCAGAAAAACTCTTAAGAAATAAAACTTATGAAGTTGTTTATTAACACATTAACTATTTTTATCTTTGTGAAAGCATTACAATTTTTTAAAGAAAATCAAGCAAAAATATTTAATCAGGAACAATTACAGTTCTCTCACACTATTTTCACTCACTTCAAGTTCTTCAATGCTATCCATCTGTAAAGGTTATCAAGTTGTGCCATGCAGTCTTCCAGGGTGAGTAATGAGCAACTCACTCATATTTTAGCAAAGTCATGTAATGAGTTGACTTGTGTCCCATATCCCTCTCCTCCAAACATTTCAGAATCTGATCTTATTTGAAAGTAGGGTCTTCACAGAGACAATGAGGTAAAATTAAGTCATTCGGGGCCCCTAGCCCATTGTGATAGATAAGTGTCTGTACAAAAAGTTGAAATCCGGATGGAAAGGCCTACAGAAGTACACAGGGAGTGCTACATCTACAAGCAAAGAACACCAGGAATTGGTAGTAAACAATGGAAGCTCAAAAGAGCTAGAAAGGATTTTCTACTGTAGTTGTCAGAGAGCATGAGCCTGCTGACACCTTATTTTAGACTTACAGCTACCAGAACTGTGAGACAATACATTTCTGTTGTTTTACATCACCTAGGTTTTGGTATTTTCTTTTGGAAGTCACCAGTTTCTTTTTTTATAAAATTCAATTGGCCATTTCACTATGACTGAGTAAGAAACTAAGTTCCTTGAAGATCAAAACTATCATTTCCCCAGAAACATTATTAATTAAAAAATGGTTAATTTGTCCCTTTCTTTATCTATAATAGGGGCCACCATTCACAACTCTCTAACAAAATAGGACCATATTTGAAAAGTTAACCAAAGGGACAGGATGAGAATCTATACTTGAATGATAAATTTCTAACACATCTAGCACAATTCTGCATATTATACGTATTCACAATTTGTAACAAAAAATTGCAAATTTCTTAGAGAATTAAATGTATTCCACAGGTTATTTAGTGTCCTTGTTCCAAATAACCTAAGAAGTGTCCTAAGTCAGTAGAGACATCCTGACACAGTAAGAATATTACTAGTACTTACTCTTTTAAAACAAATAAGAATTCCCACTAATTCTTAACTCCTGGTGGGAGGGGGGGGCGCTCTATGCGCAAAGAACTACATACTCACACTTCCATTTCAACATTCTCCAAAAACCCAACCCCACCTCCAAAAAAAGCAGAATTCACTAATCCTACAAAAGCTGAAAAAACACAACTTAATTAAACACAGAACTGCTGTACATTATGTTCAAAAATAGAAGTGTTCAATGTCAAAAATAAAAATAAATTCCTTATAGCATAAAACATGCAACTAATTGACAGGTCTTGCCCCCAAATTACAGTAGCTATTTTGGTGGTAAAATGTGAAATTCAAAATGTCTGCATAAACATTTTTCCATTGAAATTTGGAGCACAAGACTGAGGGACTTTGAGGACATTCTTATACTCAATCAACCCCTCTACTAACTTCTACCAAGTGATCAAAGTAATAACTTCTCCAAGAGGTTTTCAGTTTGAAAGGAAAAACTGTGTTTGAGTCAGAGTAAAACACTGAAGTATATAAAAGCAGGAAACTCAAGTAGAAGTTAGGCCCACAATCTACCTCTCCTCCAGTTATTTATACTTGCCATATGGCCACTTTTAGCCAGATTATCCATTTCTTTCCTAATATGAGTCTTCCTAAAACAGTTTTTATCCATTGCATAAAATGCCCCCCACACTTGTGAAGAGTTGTAAAGAAAACTGAGAGGTTTTGTTACTAGAAAAGCACTTCATTTCTTCCAAAGTTAATGAAACTAGAGGGTGAAGGTGTGTGTCACTCTAATTGTGTTCTAAATGGGAAGAAAGGGATTGGGTCATTCAGAAATTACACAGATATGAATTTCAGGCATGTAACTATAGTCCATTAATGTCTCATACAAGAAAATATCAGAAAGTTGCTGGCAGCAACAGCAGCAGCTAAGAAAAAGAAGTTGTCAAAAGTATCCCAGGAAGATTAACAGGGATATTTTTCCTCCATGATTATATTCCCACCCCACTACCTGTACCTGTACCCTAAACCCCAAAAAATTCATAAGAAAAAAAAGAAAATACTTGGGAATTGCCATCTTCAAGTATTGTTTTGTCAAATGCCACTCTTGAATTTTTAATGGATTGAAGGAAGAAATTTGGCAGGCCAGCAGGAAGAAGTAAAGCCACATGCAAGAAGAAAAAAAAGATACAGCAACTACCAAGTGGTTGAGAAGACAGTGAGGAAATCACTGAACAGTTTTAAACAAATACCTTTTGGTTTTCATGTGAAAATGAAAATCAACTTTCTTCAACTCTGGTTCTTCCCCCAAGTCTAGTCTATTCTAATACTATCCCCACAGTGATACAAGAGAAACAATGAGGAACAAATCTTCAAAATAGAAAAGATCTAGATTCTCAAAAGACTTCCAGATTCATTAATATAACTCTTCCTTAAACTCACTCCTCAGGGTACTTCAAGCCCAACCTCCCAGGTAAGAACATCCAAACAAGGTCACCCTACTATAACCAGAACTTACAGTCCTGAATCATCACTCTCCATTCTGACCTTCAAAAGTAATTACACATTCTATACTTGAATGATTCTTGCCTACAGATCACCTGGGGAATTTCTAAAATATACATTCCATACCATGAAAACTCCCAGGTGAAGCTAATAGTGTTAGATCTGCTGACCCTGGGACCATACTTTGAAAAAAAAAAAAAAATCTCATAGAAGACAAACTATCCTTCCACAATCATTTTCAAACTCTGGTGTACAGCATAAGCTCCCATGGGGTCTTGTTAAATTCCACTACTACTTTTAAATCTGTAAGTGAGCTAGGCATTTATAACAAGTATCCACAAGTGAATCTGATATATACACACTAGCTAGGAATGGGAATGCCAAAGAAGCAAAGAAACTGACAATAAGTATTGGCATGGCTACTCCTCAGCTCAAGAGGTAACATAGCTCAACAGTACATTCTTACTCTCTCTCCAACTCAACGGGAGACCAAAAGTTTTCACTGGTTTATCACTAACCTGAAGAAATAAAAATTCAGTAATGAGTTATCAACTGTCCTGGGAGAGGCAGTACAAAAGGTTATTGGGTTATTGATTCTCAGATTTCCCCCAGAACTTAAAATCTGTTTCCTAGTCCATTAAAGTCTACCTTGTTGCCCTGAATTTCAAGCAACCACCTTTTCCTCAAGACAGGTGCATAAATTATTTCCGTTAGCATTTTTGAAAGATTTGGAGGAATTGCCCAGGAATGCATTCTCAAGCTTCATTTCTGGAGCTCCAGCTATCTCTGGAACTGAAGTCACCAAAGTATCCTAGGGGTTCATGAACCCCTACTGTCCCTAACTAGAAAATAAAATTCAGGAGATTTGACTACATGCTTTCACCTTTGATAAGCAAATAACTGCTACTGTAGTCAGTAATATATAACTAATTATAGCAAATTGTCTGCCCGTGGGGCATAATTACTTCAAAACCAAAAGTTTACAACTAAAGCAAACACCTCTTTTAACAAAGCAAATCTATGAAGAATCAGTATGAAATTGGCTGCAAAACATATAAAGGGTGCTATAACTTATTAAAAAGCAAATTAAATCAATCCTAGCTCTTTTGCACGGTGGTATTTTCACTCTGAAGTTTCTGGACAATCATCTAAGGGTAAACCTATGAAAGAGAAAAATATCCCTTTCAAATCCTTTGTGGCTCGAGGGAAACGATTACTTCTACCAAATCAAAGAACGATATTTATTTCAAACCACAGGATGTGAGCCAAACTGTGGTCTGTCAATTGTAGAGTGCCAGCTTTTAAAAATGGATTAACATTTCTAAAAAGAAAAAGTTAAGAAAAATAAAGTGGGTTTAGGGGGCTAGGTTTAGACCACAAGTCTCTTGTGGGATAGGAAAAATCTTCCGTAGGCCAGACCATGGCCATGCAATACAAGTACCAAAGACACCCACAGACACCCTCGCCGCCAAAATCACTTTCAGACTTCAAGTATGTACCCACGGGCTATGTTCCAAGTGCTGTGTTAGCTGTGTACGGGCAATATTAGATGGTGAGAAGCAATGAGAGCAAAACAATCTTTTAAATTTGTTTTCCTCTTTGGGAATGAACTCTCTGGCCTACACTGGGCAGTTTAAACCGGGTCGGGGATGTATCAATAGCACTTTCAGGATAGGTCTCTAAACCGTCCCAAACCAGATTACAACTCAGAGAGATTGACGAGGGTAGAGAGGGTGGGAGTGCAGAAGTTCTGGAAACCCTTTTAACCTTCAATGTTTACAAACCCCTTCCACAGAGAGGAAGCAAAGGAACAATTCTTCTGGTAGATTAGGAGTTGTGGTTGACTCCCCCTCCCATTTGGAAACCCGGGGCACAGAAGCGCAGCGAGCCGTTAACCCGATCAACGCTGCCAGAAGCCGGAGCAGCGGGCCCTCAACACCCGCACTGTGGCATGGCCGCCAGAGCCCGCTGCCCTCCCAGCACTGCAGGAACCCCAGGCCCTGGCGAGCGCGGGAAGTAAGCAAAAACCAGGCACTTGGCGAATTGTCTGCCCGTGGGGCACCTCTCGGCAACAGTGGCGAAATCTCCGTACTCCCGACACCGCTATCTCCAGCAGCGCCCGGGGCACCTGCAATCGGGGCAAGCAAAGACCCGCGTTGGGGCCCCTTGCAGCGTCCAGGCCAGCGTTCTGCGCCTCGCCCGCTGCCCACCCTATGTGGAGGTGCCTTCCGCGTGCGCGGTGCACCAAACCCTTGGGCCCGCTGGGTCCAAGCGTCCAAGAGATGCCCAGATGCCCTCCTACTGGGCTTCGTGAAGGGTGCGGCGGGTGCGCCTCACCTGCTTGCCCCGGTAGAAAAGGCGCTGGCACTCGGGCCGCACGTCGAACAGCGCCCACACCCGCTCACGCAGCTCCTCAATCGTGGCTTTGCGAGACACGTCCTCAATGGTACGCGTCTGAGAACCGTCGATGGTGCGAACCTGGATCCACATCTTGGAGCAGGGAGAAGGGGTCGGCTCGGCTTTGTCTCCCCCTGCGCTCGGGGCGCCGCGCCCCGCCCGGCCCGCGCCGCCTCCTAGGCGGCTCCGGCTCTCCGCGGCCGATGGGGGAGAGAGCGAGTTCACCGGCGAGGGAAACCGATCAGATGGGACTGGACAGGCGGCGACTACTCTAGACCTCTCGACCACCCAACAGAGATACGGAAAAGAAACCGGAACCAGTCCGTGGCTCCGATGCTTTGCACCCGCCGCAAACCAAGCCCCACGAATAAGAGGAAGCCTGGTCGGCGCCGCGCGGAGTGTTTACTTATAGAGCTCTAGCTCCCACATGGAGGTCACGGCGCCAACCCGGATCTCGCGAGATCTAGGCCGGCTCCGCCTTAAAGAGGAAACGATCCGGGAAGTAGCCACAGATCTGAGGGAACTTAAATGGGCGGAGCGGAGGGGCGGAGCTACCGAGAGCCGTTATTTGCCCCTTCACCTGCACCTGGGCCCAAAACACGCCCTCAAAACCTTCGGGTTTCGAGTGGTTACCAAGCCGCCCACACCAGTTGCCATATAAGTCCTGGTTTCAGGACCGAGGAGGCGAGGGACTCCTCAGGCCTAGCGGATACGGTTCTTTGGTCTCAAAAACACACCAAAAATAAGAAACCCTGACGTGCATTTGTGTGACCATGTAAAGGAGACTGTGGGCGGTTTGAGGCCCATATTTCTGAGAAAGCACTGAGGAAATGAGTGCGCTCCACGCTGTCGGCCGGACACCGCCCGCCACGAGTCTTAGTAGGGCCCGCCGCCCAGCAAAGGCCACGGGGACCCTTCTGCTTGTCGAACTGGATTCTCGCCGGTCCCGAATGCTGCCTTCGCGCGGAAACCTGCTTCCTGGGGTTTCCCGCCGCTAGGCCGAGGTGGCCTCAGGCCCACGGGCCGCGAGTCCTGCTGGGATTGTTGATGGCAAACGCCGGGAGGACGGCGGGCTGGAAGGTGACTGTTTGGGGACCCTTCCTGTTTGTGCGCCTTTGACCTAAGGTATTGAGGGCTCACGAGAAACACTTTTACAGCCTATAGAACCACACACCTCAAAGAAAGAACCAGCGGTCCTACTAGGAATAAATTGTCAGAAATAAACCCAATGCAGTATTTCCTAGCAGCGGGCTTATTTAAAATGACAATGTCATAAAAAGGAAGAAAGCATATCAGATTAGAAAATACTTGTAAATTGAACTTTATTTTGTCAGAATCCATATTCAGAACGGTGCTAATTATTGTCATAGAGGTGGAACATCATTTTTGTAATGATCAGTTAGAAGAATTACAAGCACGGAGTAGTAGTCTCATTTTAAAGCGAGAGATGGTTCAACACCGGAGGGACAGGAAAAATAAAATGCACATACATATTTAAGATTTCTACCCTTACTGAAAATTTCCCTTTCTTACATATCCTCTAAATATAATTCAGCGTCCTGGTCTAAGTAAAGCAAACATTGAGTAACAGGTAAATGACAGGACAGAGATAAATTTTGCTTATCACCTGCCCCAATCAGGCATAGCTATATGCGTTATAAGCTTATTCTATGTTCTGATGGAAGTGTTTCAAGAATTTCTCTCTAAAAATTTAGAGTTAGATTTAGAAAAATGAATATATTTAAGAATAATTGATATTAAACAATTTGGTGTTAAAATAGAAACTAAGACATGATACAAGGACTAGAGTGATCTGGGAACTTAAAGGTAGCAGTAGAACTTCACCTGAGTTTGATATTTTATAACGGGGCAGACAGTATTTAAATATTTAGTTCATTGATTGAGGTAGACTTAAATTGTAATCCCAGTTCTACTGCTTACATACAATGTGATTCTGTACAAATTACTTTTTACAGTTTCCTCAAAATAAGAGGTGCCTATAATATCTAATCATCGTGATGGATTGTTTAGTCGTAACACAGATCCTTTGTAATGCTATTATTATGGAAAAGATTTAGATAAGCAGAAAATGCCCAGAGAGGGGAAAGTGTTTAAGCAAAGAAAGAGAGGTATGCTTTTTTCTTCTTTTAACAAGTCTGAGAGGTTGCATATCAAAGAAAGGTTGACTCAATAGAAAAGGGCAGAGCGTGAAGATTAGCATTCAAAGCAATAGGTTTTGTAGACCCCAGGGAGAGACTAAGATTTTTAAAAGAGCTACTGACATGATTAAATATGCATTTGGAAAGACTGTGGAAAGATGCCTTAGGGGGAAAGTAAGGGATGGCTGAGAATGGGGAAATGTCAAAAAGCTTAGTGAAGAGGTAATGTGTTAATTGAATTTAAAAAAAAGATTTATTTATTTATGCATACAAGAACTGGGGTACAGGCCAGAGGTGCGGGAGTGGTAGCAAGATGGTTCACCAGAGACAGAGTGGGGAACAGAACAGGCAGATTCACCAAAATACACCACTGAGGGAAGCAGCAGGAGAGATAGGAGAGGTCTGTCCTTCCTGGCCAGGGACCAGACCTGTGCTACTGTGGCTGCTGATAGCTCCATGGTGTTGCACTTTAATCCATTGGGTCACCAGGGAGGGCCCAATATGTTGCTGATTTTAGTGAACAATATTTCTGTGGTAGGAGGAAAGGAGGGGCATTTAGAAAACAGCTTATATGACTTAGAGGATTGTGGATATGAGGAATGAGGGGAAAAAATTAGAATGCTGAAGGCAATTCCCATATTCTTAGTTTGGGAGACTTAATTAGATGGTTTGGGCTGCTGGTAATGCTCTTTACTAAGCTAGAAAAGGGGAATGTGGTGAGTTCAGTTATATTGTGTTTGAAATGCATCCAAAATACCTCCATGAAGATTTCTAATTAACACCACAGGGAGGCCCATAAAGTTTTGAAGTCAAGTAGAAACTTTCTGAAAAAAGAAATACCTCTTTTACTCCAATGAAATAATTTTTCCTACTCAATGTGGTTTGGCTTTAATGGAGAACCCTTGAGGAAATAAAAAGTTTACTGTCAAAAAAAGTGTCTACTGAGGCTGTAAAGGATTTATATTAATCTAGTTACTGTTATACATCCCTAAGGATTGGCAAGGCAGGGTTTAGAAATATCTGATCTAGAAATGATGTATTTGTTCTTTGCATACCAATTTAATTACATCTGGTAACCTTGTTTGTGTGGTAAGTTACCTAGTATGCATATAATTAATTACAAATAGATTCTATATGTAACAATACATCCTTCTCTTTTTCCACATGGCACACATTATAACTAAGTTTGTCTTTCCCTAAAATAACTTTGTTTTCTATTTAGGAAGCTACCCAGTTGTAAAAATAAGGCAGAAGTTCTCTGATAAAACAGCACAATATTAGTTTTGACATGCCATGCCTTAGTACCAGATCTGTAGCTAAAACAACTTGACAATGAATAGAGAAAGAAAAGGGGAATGATTCACATGGATGAGGAGCAAATACTATAGTTATGCCATCACTCATTGAACAATATTCGTTCAAGTCAAAAGAGGTAAAACAGGAAAAGATTGATTGTAGAACTAATTTTATTAGTATCTTATTTCATCTCAGATTTTAGTCCAGTTTTCTCACTTTCTCAAATTCACTAACTTGTGTGTGTATAAAATATGTAATATATAAAGTGAATTTCATCTGCTCTCTCAAGCTATTAGTACCTTTTAATCTGTACCTTTATATTGGCTGTCTTCCTTTTGCTCCACTAGGCCTATTCTTTTTTTATTATTATTAAAAATTTATTTATTGGGCTCTCCCTGGTGGCGCAACTGGCTAAAGCACCCCACTATGAAGCTCTCCGAAGCCATTGCAGCTCGAATTCAATCCCTGGCCAAGGAGCTGACCCACAAGGCATGGCAGACCTCTCCTGACCTCCCTGATGCTCCCTTCAGCAGTGTATTTCAGTACATTTGCCTGTTCTGTTCCCTACTCTATCCTCTGAATCCTCTCACCCTCCACACCTTTAAATTTTTTTTTCAAGATTTATTTATTTATGCATACCGAACTAGGGTACAGGCCAGAGGTGCAGGGCTAGTAAGAAGATTCACCAGAGACAGAGTGGGGAGCAGAACAGGCCGACTGATGAAGTACACTGCTGAGGGGAGCAGTGGGCGAGTCAGAAGAGGTCTGCCTTGCCATGTAGGTCATCTCTGGGGCCGGAATGGAACTTAGCTGAAGTGGCTTTAGCTTCTTAGTGCAGCATTTACCCACTGTGCCACCAGGGAGAGCCCCTTTAAAATTTTTTAAAGATTTATTTATTTATGCTTGCAGAACTGCTGTACAGGCCAGAGAAACAGAGGTGGGGGGTGAGGTAGAGGATTCACCAGAGACAGAGTTGGGAGCCGAACAGGCAGATCTGAAATATACTGCCAAGGGAAGCAGTGAGCGGGGGTCAGGAGGGGTCTGCCATACCATATGGATCACCTCCCTGACTGGGCATTGAACCTCATGCTTCAGTGGCTGTGAATAGCTTCACAGTGCTGAAGTTTCCTAGTGAGCCACCAGGGCAGGTCCAGGGCTTTTCTTTCAATCTTCTGGCTGTTCTGGAATCCAAGAGCAAGGAATAGTACAGTATTATGTGCTGTACTACTGTCTATTGCCTTCTGGGAAATCACTACAATTAAAGTAACCTGTTCTATGTGACACATACCCATGGGTAAGATAAACTCTCCCTTCTCTTACTGCTTTTGGTCTGGGTATTTTATACCATTTGTAGTGACTTGTCTGAAATCATACATTTTCTTTCAGTTCTCTATACTTTTGTCCCATATCCTTTTTTTTTTTAAAGATTTATTTATTTGTGCATACAGAACTGGGGTACAGGCCAGAGGCTCAGGGATGGTGAGAGGCTTCACCAGAGACAAAGTGGGAAGCAGAACAGGCAGATCTATGAAGTACACTGCTGAGGGGAACAGTGGGCGGGTCAGGAGAGGTCTGCCACGACATGTGGTCACCTCCAGGGAAGGTAGGGATTGAACTCATGCTGAAGTGGCTTAAGCTTCTTAGTGCTGTGCTTTAACCCGCTGCGCCTTCAGGGAGGGCCCTAAAAGAATTTTTTATAATTATTTATAATTATTATATTAATCCTATTTCTGGACTGGGACTGATCCCAGAAAAGATACAAGGCAATCATACTTCTCTCTGCATCACTACTATCTCTAGCAATGGTCTGAGTGACCTTTCTGTTTCAAAGGAGACATTTAGGGATATGTATTCTATATCTACTAATAACCAATAACTATGGGGCATATAAAAATATTATAGTAATATTTTGAGATTTGCTTAGCTGAAGTTATTAAATAAAAAAATATGACAGGCATGTGCTACATTCACTTTCCTTAGTTTATTTTGACCTTTTTGACAAT